ATGCCGATTTACAGATTTGTATGTCGACGCTAGATGAAGGAAAAGTGTTACAAAATGAAAATGAGTACGAACAACCGGCGGGATTCGCTTATTTCCGAAGAATCAACATCGTCCAGCACGAGTAGTATATTGTCGATTGACAGGTTGGCGAATTCATTGCGAGAGTCCAAAATAGAACGCTAATCCTCTCAAAGCTGGAACTGGACAAAGCTGCAACGTTCGAGAGCGAAGACTGAAGTTGCTTGAATGATCGGCTGCAATATTAATCAATCGTTCATTTCGCATTTGGAAACATTTATTTTCTTCACAACATTTCAAGTCGGACGAAAGTTTCCATGTTTTGACTGCTTTCAGCTATGAGACGAAACCGCGCTTCAGTAAGTTCCAAATAGCGGGTCTAATATTGGGCTCGCTCATAGTGACCGCATTTTGTGTGCTGATCGTGAATCAATTTCAATGCTCAGCACACCTTGGTTCACCGAAACAACAGTTGATCAAGCAGTTCACTGCAACTCCTCAGCACGATTTCTTAGCACCGTTTATCAAATTTAATGAAAAGTAAGTCGAAACTGATGTTGGAAACTCTCTTCGAAATTGCCCAGTGATGATTTCCAAGTGGAACGATGACGCTAATCAGCTACTCTACAATTATTGCGGAGGAATAAGATTTTGTGATCGTCCAGTGATCTCACACCCATGTTGTAGCGACTTCATATATCGTTCCTTATTAGAAATTCCTGATCGAACTATCTAAAGCTTGCCAATTCAAGCATTCAACTTAGACAATTTCAATATCGTTCCAAAACCTTCAAAATCAGCTTCGTGATTTATTGGTCATGACAAACGTCTTAAATATATACTTCTTCAGACTGTTCGAGCATCGATCTATCACTTTGTCAAAGATCACTTCAATCTGCCAAAGATCATACGAAAAATCACGAATGTTTTTCAGGTTTAATCGTGACTATGACTCAGTTGAAGAGATGGTAAAGCGTTTTGCGCACTTCGTTGGAAGTGATATGGCAATTATGGATCTACAGAAATTCAGTGACGGCACCATCTATGGTTTGACTGGACTTGCCGATAAAGCCTTGGATGAAAGGGGAGATGGAAAGGTTGTCTATTCAGACAAATTCAGCGTTTCATCCAGTGCTTCTGAGGTATTGAAGTGTGGCCAATTCATTGAGTAGTTACAAATAAGGATGCATCTAAAACTTTTATTAAGGTAGTTAGAAGGTTTCAAAAAGGAAGTGAATCACCTGGGACATGAACCATTTTTTTGATGAGAAAAGGCAAGGCTGCGAGAGAGCAGATTTCGAACGAAATATGAGTTTTGCGTTTTAGGAGGATTGCAGAGATGGTCGCATGCTTCTGGACAACATGGATTTGGATTGGGCGGTGATTGATCCGAGAGAGCATCCAGATGAATCAATGCCGAGTAGTTTCGATTGGCGAACGAAACGCGCTGTGACTGACGTTAAAGATCAAGGTGTGTGAACACCTGCCTCTAGTATCCTTGAATAAACTTTGGATTATGTATTCTCCGCAGAATTTCACTTATCCTCAGCTATATGGTATCATTGGTTATGCAGGAATAAACTAACCTGAGGATAACTGCTTGACGAGTGTTTGACTCTGTTTGAGATATTTCAAGTATTCAGATTTCAAGAACGAGGGCTGAGAGGACATTTTCAGGAGAATGTCGAAATAGTTGGGTATTTTCATCGATCGCTGTTGTGGAGTCGATGAATGCCATAGAGAATGGCGTTTTGCAACCCCTTTCTGAGCAGAACGTTATCGATTGTGAACTTCCGTACGACAGGTGTGAGACAAGAACACCCAGAATGGCGTTGAGGTAGGAACTTTTCTTTCCAGTATCCTCTAGAGCAGTGTTTCTTACAAATTTTGATGATTTGGCATGCCTCCGTTACCCTCCTCCCTCGTCCCACCCCCACCTCTCCCCCCATTTATACAAGAACATACTATTTCTACGTATAACATCA